TTGTGTTGTGTTGGTTGTGTTTGTTTTTGTTTTGTGTGGCTGCGGGGGCGGCGTGGTCGTTCTGTAGGGAGGGAGGGAGGGAGGGAGGGAGGGAGGAAAGAAGGAAGAAAGGAAGGAAGGAAGGAGAGAAACAGAGGGAGAAAGAAAGAATAAAGGAAGAAACAAATGGAGAAAGAAAGCTAATATCTTTTAAAAATATCTCTTCAACACTTTCAAAGATATCAAAATCATGTAAACACTTTCACAGTCACGAGTAATATATGGAGCATTATAAATATCCATACAGGTTTTAATAGGATTCAAAAACTGAAAGCAGATTTTGGTAAAACAAAGAAACCTTGAACAAGGAATGTTTAACTTTGTCATAATAAACAAATATTGATTTATAAATTCAGCAAAATGACTATTGTAGATATGAAAGGCTAATAATAGAGGACCATGGTTCTCAAATAATTAGAACTCTGGGTTACATTCACTCCTTTGCAAGGCTAAGGCATAATTTTAAGTGTTATTAACAGTAAGTAAAGCATCTTTTTGATGAATTTAAACTTATATTAATAATTATATTATGGATACAGTGGTCTAATTTATATTTTAACTTGAATTTCTACTTTTCACATTTTCCTCAAGTTCATAAATTCATCAACATAAGTAGTGCTGGTGAACAGATATCTGCCATTTATGTTCTCTTCAGGTATATAGATCAAGACAATAGCTCAGGTGATTCATGTCTCTGTTGTAGTTTAGATGACATTTTCTATAATGAAGACAGAGATACATACAAATATATATGTATATTTGATCATTTGTTATTCTTGTCATTTTAGTTTGTCTCTTTATAAATTATGCATATACACATTTAAGTCTGCTCATGTCATGTACATGTAGAGAAAAATACACTTATATACATTTATTAAAAATATGCATATCATCAACATTACTAAGCGTTAACATTAACATAATAACAAATTGTGTCACTATTTTATGATAATTAACATTTAATTTTAAATGCTATTGACTATTTTGTTTTGTTCTCATTGCTAAACTGAGCCATGAAGTGGCTCAGTAAATTGTGAGCAATACATCATGTGTTACCCAACAAGAGACATGTGAATCTTTACAATAGTGTCTTGTGAATATAAAAATATACTTTCAGGATTATTTTCTTAACTTCTTTTCCATCATGCTTTACAGGTTCTCTCTCTTCCTCCACCCCCCCCGTGTGTGTGTGTGTGTGTAAAAGAGAGAGAGGTTTAATCTGATATCAACTATATTGTTAGCCATACTGAACATGAAAGAAAGCTAAATTTTTAGAGATACTCGAATTAGTATAGCTCAACTGCTATATGGTATGTGAGATATATTTTAGAGACATTGAATGCAGAAGAAGGGGCAGCAAGCCTGTAAGAACCGGAGGGCCAGGGACCTTGCAATAATAACATGTCTCCTAGTAATATAAGAAGCTATACAACAGAAGCTGTATCCATAAAACCTCCCCAACATGACCCATAAAATGTGAGCTGAACAAGGACAATGGTGAACAAACCAAACTAGATGAGAAAAAGCCTATAAGGCTTCAACTCTTTACAAATAAATACAGGCAATTGAGTAATTCTGGGTACAGGAAAGGTACATTTTCTGAGGTAAGAACATAGCAATTGGTTGTCCAGTGCAAAAAATATCAGCTCTGAAACCATATACAAATAGCATTACATGGACACAACAGGTCATACTTAGGAATACATGCACATACAAGCAAATGTGAGCATTCAGTAATGATTATAATAAAAAGGCTATAAGAAGTGTAAAGGGTCATTATGGAAAGATGAAAGGGAAGGGAGAAATGTTTCTTTTCAGACCTCCCAAATAACACTGTGGGAGCTTTAAAAGAGGTTGAAAATTTCTGATATATATATAGATATTGAAATGGAATTTCTGTAAACTGGTATGTCTTCTGTCATAATTTTGAGAGTATCCGATGTGGTATAGTGACCTAGTGTAACTCACTGTGTGATACTTCTTTTTCCCAGGGATTCATATGTTCTCACCTCTTCTCAAGAGGGGTAGTTATTCCTAGCTCTGTCCAGTAGAAAAAACTATGTAGAAATTACATTTCCTTTATGATCCACATATTCTCTTGCTCTCTTCTACTGAAATTGTGTTATTGAGCCATATGTTGAGGTATAGATGACTGATGAACATCCTTGACACATCACACATCAAAGATGCATTTAGTCAATAACAAGTTACTTTCTTGCATTGAAGAGATAGCTCAGAGGCTTAAAACCTTTTCAGCTCTTACATATGACTAGCCTTCAGTTCCTAGCACCCTTATTGGGAAGCTCCTAGCCACCTATAACAATAAAATATTTTATTTTCCTCTGAAAAGAGAAGTTGCTTCTCCAATGCAAGCAAGTTTGTGATGTCAGCCAACATACATCCATATCCAGCTTCAAAACTCTGAATTCTAAAAGTTTAAATATGAGGAATATTTTCAGTTGACTGTCTCTTGACCTCGTGGAAAACTGGCATTGCAATTGAAAACATTTGTTGTTTTGTCTTTTTGGTTTGTTTGTTCTTTTAATTAATTATTACCAGAATTCTCTCTGATATACAGATTTTTTTCTTTTTTTATTGGATATTTTCTTTGTTTATATTTCAAATATTGTAACCTTTCCCTGTTCCCCTCCCTGAAAGCCCCTATCCCATGTCCCCTTCCCTGCTTCTATGAGAGTGTTCTCCCACCCATGCACCTATTAACCAACCAG